TTAATATCTGATATATATGTCTTTAATGCATGGGTTTGCGGTATGAGTTTTGCTCATTGTTGAAGGCTGTACAATGACATATGCTTGTTAACTTCCACGTCATTTGGTCTTTTATGGATATTTGTCTCATTGGCAATCATACCACATAATTCTTATGATATTCCAAAGTGATTTATCAACACCAAGATATCGACTTGGATACGATAAAACGGTCTCACAATAAATGAAAATGCTTGCTTCTAAAAGTTTTGGAATTAAAATAGAACATGTTGACTAGCAATGAAAAATTAGTTTAACTTGAATAAAGTCAATACGCACTGCCTCAATGCTGGGTTAGTTTTCTATCTACAGACAAAACAAAGTTGAAACTGTATTTATCAACTGCCAATTTACAGTTTCAGAATCTAAAGTACTATGGTTAATTGCATTGTTCTGTAATACAGTTGTATTGTCCGTCTATATATGTAGAAATTATCAATAAACTATTTTCCAACTTCCTTCCTTGGGAGCCTTCTGGTCACATATCTCTTTATGTGTTTCCGTCCTTGAGTGCCTTCTGGTCACATAGCTCTTTATGTGTTTCCATCCTTGGGTGCCTGCTGGTCACATAGCTCTTTATGTGTTTCCATCCTTGAGTGCCTTCTGGTCACATAGCTCTTTATGTGTTTCCATCATTGGGAGCCTTCTGGTCACATAGCTCTTTATGTGTTTCCATCCTTGAGAGCCTTCTGGTCACATAGCTCTTTATGTGTTTTCATCCCTGGGAGCCTTCTGGTCACATGGCTCTTTATGTGTTTCCATCCTTGAGTGCCTTCTGGTCACATAGCTCTTTATGTGTTTCCATCCTTGAGTGCCTTCTGGTCACATAGCTCTTTATGTGTTTCCATCCTTGGGAGCCTTCTGGTCACATAGCTCTTTATGTGTTTCCATCCTTGGGAGCCTTCTGGTCACATAGCTCTGTATGTGTTTCCATCCTTGGGAGCCTTCTGGTCACATAGCTCTTTATGTGTTTCCATCCTTGGGAGCCTTCTGGTCACATAGCTCTTTATGTGTTTCCATCCTTGAGTGCCTTCTGGTCACATGGCTCTTTATGTGTTTCCATCCTTGGGTTGCACGTATTTTGCCTTTAGCGTTCCTGATGAAGGAAAATCAAGAAATGAAAGAAATTCGGACGAATGTAATTTATGAAGTGTTATTTTCATTGTTTTGTAATTTAGCTACGTTTTTTATTTGAAATTATTCAGTCTTATCATTTGTTGAAATTGTAACTTAATATACCCTATAGTATAAGGCATTACATTTGAGCTGCGCCGGATAGAAATCGACCTTATGCAAGCGCACGTATACATGTACATGTATAAGATTTTGATTGATTTTGGAACATTCAAATACGAAATAAAAAATAAATTTTGGGGTCTGTTTTGAAGATTTTCTGATAAAGTGTGTTACGGCTCAATGGTTTTGTTTTAGGGGTATCAAAAGTCATTGCTTATGTGTATCTATTGGCTCATAATTTATCTCAAAGGTAACCATTTTTTGTTTCTGTGGGGTCTTTTCTTGTCTAAATATGTAAAAATGAGGGGTTGTTGGCACAATTTGGCATCTGAGGTGTTTTAGGCCAAGCATCTGAGGGATTGAAGTTTGCCTGAAAATTTTCTTAAGGGGGTCTTTTACAAGGTAACCACCCACTCCCCCTGTCCAGAAACTAAATGGAATGGCCCATCATGCGTGGTTGTAATGATGCAAACATTTAAAAAAATCAAAATTAGGGTTTGGACTAAGATTTTGCGGCTCGCTAAACAAAGAGCGGAGCATCGTGTACTATGGGTAATTATTTGTGTTCTTGTGTATATTCGCCAAAGAAACAATTGTTGCTTATTAAATTTTCAAAATATTTGCAGTTAGGGAGTTTTTTCCAGTCGGTTGTATATTTAAGTTTATATCTTTAGCGAGCAGTGTTAAGCTGAGTATAAGTTTGCTACATATATTATTCACAGTGTCAGAACAGTCGCGATATTTAAGTTTGTATTTTTTATATTGAAGACATTTATGAACTTTTCACACATATCATCGTAGTTACGTATTTCATATCGTAAAATTGAGAATGGAAACATATATTCATAATAGTCACAAACTCCTGGCACGTTTTTTTTTTGTTTTTTTTGTTTTTTTTTAGTTTCTGATTTGATATCTTGATCCGTCAAGGACTTGATACACGTTAATTAACACATATTTGATTTTGTATTTTGATAACTCGCACATCCTGATTAGTTGTATGCAAAATTTAGGAAATAATCAGAGGGGTTATGTATTATTAGTTACATAGTGTGCTAGTGACCTAATACGGTATATATGGGGTCAGTAAATTCCATATGGGGTGAGAGCGAAGCTCGAATCCCCATATGGAATTTACTGACCCCATATATACCGTATTACGTCACTAGCACACTATGTAACGAATTTATCCTACCGACTATCTTAACGTGTGAAATTTAGACTAGTGACCTATCAAAATGAGCAAGTCTTCAATACCGTTAGCATTAAAAAACTACTTCCATTGATCCTACAAACAGATGCCAACAATAACAACTTGCTAGGTTTAAATGTGTTTTATGAATTTATTTCAGTCTTCATCATCAATTTCTTCGTCTGTTGAAACCTTTAAGTTTTTTCTCAGTAACGTTTTGTTTTTATAAAGGGGCGTAACACCACTACTAACCGTGTATGAAATAAGCCCAGCCTCCCTTCTAACCTAATATGGAATATACACGGTCTCCACGCGGACGCTTTTAACCAATCACATTCCTAGAAATGTGTAGGAGGTAAGATAATTTAAGTTGTCATTCTTCTTGAATAGTTGTATTGCATAACATTAGAAAAAGTCAGAGGGGTTATGTATTTTAAGTTGTCATTCTTCTTGAACAGTTGTATTGCATAACATAGGAAAAAGTCAGAGGGGCTATGTATTTTGAGTAGTTACATCTTCTGATTAGTTATATTACATAATATAGGAAAAAGTCAGAGGGGTTATGTATTTTGTGTAGTAACTTCTCCTGATTAGGTATATTGCAGAACATAGGAAAAAGTCAGAGGGGTTATGTATTTTGTGTAGTAACTTCTCCTGATTAGGTATATTGCAGAACATAGGAAAAAGTCATAGGGGTTATGTATTTTGTGAAGTAACGTCTCCTGATTAGGTATATTGCAGAACATAGGAAAAAGTCAGAGGAGTTATGTATTTTGTGTAGTAACTTCTCCCGATTAGGTATATTGCAGAACATAGGAAAAAGTCATAGGGGCTATGTATTTTGTGAAGTAACTTCTCTTGATTAGGTATATTGCAGAACATAGGAAAAAGTCATAGGGGCTATATATTTTGTGTAGTAACTTCTCCTGATTAGGTACATTGCAGAACATAGGAAAAAGTCATAGGGGCTATATATTTTGAGTAGTAACTTCTTCTGATTACGTGTATTGCATAATATAAAAAAGTCAGACGATTTACAAATCATTCAGGAAGAGATGAAAACAGTGAAAAATTAACACGGTGTCAACTGCTGCGTGATATTTATGGTCATAAACATAGTCAGCTAAAAGCACAATCGGGAAGTGCCTGTGTGGTTATCTTTGTTGCTGGGTTTCTGATTCATTTACCACACTCCTTCAAATGAAATGAATGACACAAAGTTAAAACATTTTATAATACTTATATACCTTTAAAAGTTAAGTACACCAAAGTTGTTCTGTCTAGGTGTACACTGTTTAAGACAAGGGCCACTTGAATTGTTGAGCCTACTTGAAAGTCATAAAATTCTTTTTCATAATTCCACATACAATAATCGTGATTATCACTTATTAAACAGACTTTGTAGAAATAAAATTATGAAATAGCAATATACCATGAAGTTGAGAGATAAGATGTTGTTTTCTTTTTAATACACAGATATTCTCGTTTATCTACATGTTTCATTTTACATGTATTGCTTATTTCATTTTATGGCCAAATCACCCTACTAGATTGCTCTCTTATCGTTTTTCGTTTGTTCGCTCAAATTCAAGTTTTATTAACATATAGATAACCGCTCATATTATTTGTTACAAGTTTTATCTTGTCTCTTTTTTTTATAATGCGTTTAAACAAAAGTTACAAAAATCTTCAATTCTCAAACTACAAAAAAGATGTGTTTAAAACCGAATGCCAAAATAAATTACACTACGTTTAAAGATACCAATGAATGTTGTTTTCCTGCAAATTTCGGAACTCGACTTAGCAGTAATTCAATATACAATGTACTTTTATTCTTAATCAGATAGTACACATTTAATAGTATTCTAACCATGATGTACATCTGGGCTGATATGCATAACAATAAGTAAAGATTTGTTTCGAACAGAAGGATTTTTTTCTACATGTCCTACTATAAATTAGTACTACGATTGGATATCGTAACTTACGCAGTTTTATACATATCGGTCCTGTCTTATATTTATTGATATTTTTCGTCATTGTTCACAACTAGATCTTGCATTTGCTCAAAAGTAGTGCTAAACGAAAAATTGGACTAAAGAGCAGCCATTTTTGTACATGTGGCTCTTTCTCATTCAGAATCAGAAAAAAAATAAAGATATTTATTGGCCGAAAACAAATATTAATGTTTCGTATCTAATTTCTGTATTTTTCAATATTTCTGTAAACCTCAAGTTATTTCTAACTATTGCGTATGAAGCAATATAAAAGGCGGGGGAGTTCGAACAGACTCCATTTTAACGTCAACAAAGTAATATTCCAAAATTCTTTTACAACATGACGACATAAATTTGAATTTATTAATATTTACTTATATTTGAGTGCCCTTACCTTTCAATATAGCATAAACTATAGGTACTTTTATTAAGTAAATATCCATAATATAAATCATGGTCATAAAAATGACACCGTGGGTTGAGGTTTGCATTAACAGGTCGCGGAGGTTATAGGTAAGTCTACCCCTGGCGAGAAAATGTCAAGGAAATCGGAATATAAACTCAAAAAGCGAAAAGGAACAAAGGTAAGCAAATCTGTTGTTTAAACTTAAAACAACCTCTTATTAAAAAAAGTAAGAACTGTGTTTTTTTTTTGTATTCGAAACATTGTGGGCCACTCATATCGGCCGAAAACGTTTATGATCATGTGCAAACTTCTTTTATAACATTAAATTTTATGCTATCTACGTTTGAATTAATTTGATGTATTTGTGTTTTGTGGCTACTATTCCTTTGACGTTTAAACAATATATATCAGGGTTCTCACTAAGGATGTTTGAAGGCGAGTCCAGGGACTCGTGTTTTTTTGCCATGGCGAGTCCAACAGTGAGAAGATACAATTTAATTGGTTTAAAATTTATTATTCCAGTCTTTATGACAAAAAAGAGCAAGCAAATGCTGTCAAATTTAGATTATTTTTCAAATTTTGTTAAAAAATGATGATTTAAGTGTTCAATTGATACAACAATTTACAATTTTGATGCATCTTAAATTTGGACTCACCAGTTTTGAAAATGATGAGTCCTGACAGATTTTCATGAGTCCAGGACTCATGGACTCGCCTTAGTGAGAACCCTCAGGCTGTATCTATTATCTTAGTGTTGATATTATTTTTTTTTCGGTTTCGTGCACTGTATAAAGTAATAAAATTTGTATATTATCTTTTTAAAATTATCATACGATATATCATCATGTTCATCTCAAAATTTCGGAAATTATATGATATACTTAAAATCAAATTGGTATCGATTCTAAAATGATATACAAAAAAGAATAAATTCGTTCTCGAAACACCAATTAGTACACTCGAAATGATGTATGGTTTCCTTTAAATACATTTTTATAGATCGAAATACATTTGTTTTCCTGTGACACTTTTAGACTCGAAAACGACGAACTGTTTATTCGTTCTCTCGTAATCATTTCTTTTTTCTAGATGTTATTTTATTCTAAAGAAAAATTCGTTTTATCGGGTTATTTATTCCGATCAATAAAATAAGATTTGATGCCTAAAAATATATTCTGTACACAAAACATTTATTCCGAGGGAACGAATTATATTTCATGAAAAACAAACCATAATTAAGAGGAATGAAATAATTTTCCCTTTCGCGCTGTGTGGGTTGGTTGATATTTACTTCCTAAAATAAAATGAAGGACAATTGTCTTTGAACTTGAATCATGAGGATTTAATTTCTGATGGGGTATCAATTGTTATGTGAATATTAACAAATACAATGTAAAATAACATATATGCACAAACTTCGTATATATTCAGGTCCGGAGCTGGCATGTCAGTAACTGCTATAGTAGTCCTCTGTTAATTCATATTGATCATTGTCATGTTGCTTAGTTTTTTTATGCTACATATTCCAACATCGGACTCGGACTTCTTTTAAGCTGAATTTTACTGTACGTGTTGCTGTGTGCTTGTTTACTCCACGTTGGCTAGAGATATACGGGGAGGTTTGAAATCTCACAAAACATGTTTAACCCTGCCGCATTTTGCGACTGTCCCAAGTCAAGAAACACTGTCCTTTGAAAATTTTGTGTGTTTTTTTAAATTTTGGTTCGGGGTAAGAAGGAGCAAAACAATATTGAAAATAAAAAAAAAGTTGAAATGAAAGAGGACACTGACAAATAACTTCTAGACTTTTTTGTCACTATCAAAAGTCCCCTTACCCACTTTTCAGTCTATTCCTACGCCACTGTGTCCTTATCTAAGTATAAGTGCATTTACCCTTTTTTACCGATACTTTTTCAAACTCGGCTTAAGACGGGACGTTCTTAGTGTGCGCCCTTACGGAAGATTATAGTTTTTAGCGCAAAAATAAATACTTTTCAAAATTGTATATTGATATTTTTAAGGTGGTGCTCCTCATTACTAAAATCCTAGATTCACGCCTGTTAAATGGTACTTTAAACAATTTCCTCTGTGAAGATTTATAAGGGAGATACCATATGATTTTTATGGGGGGGGGGGGGGGGACGGGGCTAGGATGAAATTTGAAAAAAAGGCAGGACAGGAGTTTGAGTAAAAAAAAAGGCAGGATGAGCAACTTTGCAAAAAAAAAAAGGCAGGATGACAATTTATGTAAAAAAAAGTCAGGATAAACTAATAAAAAAAAGGCAGGACTAAATAGAGTGAAAAATAAAAAGGCAGGACAGAGATTACATACATACTACTTTCATCCTAGCCCCCCCATAAAAATCAAATGGTAGCTCCCTAAGTGAATAAATAGAAAAGACATGATAATTCTATACTTACAGATTATCGATATTCAATCCCATATGAATACTGAATATTTGCGACCATAAAACGATTGTCCTTTAGAGATGAACAATTGTCCCTTCATCAATTAAATTGAAGTTCAAATTGCGCAATCGAATCTATATATGTATACAACAATGTAGGTATACGCGTTTCTTTAATATATTATTGTTCTTATTATTTCTTTTTTGGTGTCCACTGTTGTCTTCGCCATTAATTCAAATTAATTAAGTAATGATGATTATTCTCCAAAAAAAAAATGTCGTCTTTGTACGCAACCACTACAGGGAAATTCCCAAAAGTTATGTCAAGAAGAAGAAAAATTGAAAAATAATTTGTTGTGCAGTTGTCAATTTTTTTGGGATCAAATTTTGAATTTTATTATTATCATGGAATATTAAATGCATTTTGTTAAAACTGGACCATTTTCTTGATTAAACAAGCTGCACGTGAGTTGGAAGATACCATTAGAAGTGTATGTAGATTCGTAGGTACACGAAAACCTATCGCTTTTCTTTTTTTTTTTTTTTTTTTGGGGGGGGGGGGGGCTTCTAAGCAATTCAAATATGTACAAATATCACCATATTTCCGAAGGAGAAAATATTTAAATCTTCGGTGATCTTCTTTGAAATGTTAGCAATTTGTCTAGACTTGTGCACGTGATGATATCGTTATTTTTACACCTTATCGCCATTTATTCATTTATTCCAATCCGGAAAAGGGGAAGAAAGAAGGAAGAAAGGAGGGAGGGAAAAAAGGAAAGGAAAGGAAAAAGTTGTACTGAGCATAAAAATTTTCAAAGAGTTATGTTTAAACTATTGTTAACACTTCAAACAGAGCATTTTTTTTTAATTTATTAATTTGTGTTTAAATATTGGTTCATAAACTATAAACAGGAAGTTGTCCAAGTCCCCCCCCCCCCCCCCCCCCCCCCCCCCCCCCCTCCCGGATTGGACTAAATAGTGATGAGGTTTATTGTACTAACAAGTTGATTTGACATAACTTTGTAGTTTTCTAAGAAAAAAAATTACATTAACCAGTTTGGAACATTCCAATAGCTAAACAATTCAGTGTTGGATTTAATAGGCTATGTTATAAAATAAAGCAAAATGTATCATTGCTTTCAACTTCTTTTGTTCTTTTCGAACGTAAAAGACGGAGGAATGAGGGATTTTGCTAGCATAATTGAAAATCTTTTCTACAGCCTCATGTAACTTTCAGTTTTCAATCATTTTAAGAGTTACGTTTAGGACAGTTGTTGAAGATGTAAACCAAATATGAATCAGACTGTAATGTATGTAAGTAAATCATGACAAAACAGATAAAACAAGACTGGATCTTAATATAAGTTTGTCAATGGAATAATTGACAATATCAGCTAGTTTTTCTTTGTAACATATATATGTATCTTAGAAATTTCTTTACTGAAGAAGGGTTATTGCTCAATTCTGGTGGTGTAATGTTGTACTTTCAAAACACAGATATAAAGTGTAACCTTATACATTTGGTAATTAAATGATCTTTTGCATTGCAGAAAGAGAGAAGTGTCAATTTCTTTTCGGATATAACCTTACCTAAAAATGAGGACGAAATAGATATAATAAGCATGGAAGCTTCTCCAGGAAGGACGAAAGTCGACCAATTTGGTTACGACAACGAGGCTTTCGAACCACCGTACGATGTCCCGGATGATGATTTTGGGTCTTTCCGAAAGGACAGTAGTGACACAGAATCTGAACATGACGATCCTGTCATCAAATCTTCAGAGGAAGGAAAGAATACTACGAAGCCAATGAATGGAAATGCTGTTCATGAAAATGATCCATATGAGCAGAAGACGTAAGTTAAAAATGAATAAAGGAAAATGTATAAAAAATGTCCCGCTCAAAGAGAAAGTAACCGAACTATGAAATTGCGACAACTTTATATTTTCACATGTATCTCGCTCGCGTGAAATTCATCTCAAACGAGCATATATTGAAAAACACATGAGCTTTACAAAGCAAAAGTGAATATTTTGATGATTTTAATTACATTTGAAAATTTAGATGTTATTTGAATATCTTTTGTTTTTGAAAATTCACATGAGTTTCACGTTAAAAAATTCATGTGATTTTCACGTGAAGTTCAAGTAAATTCACATGAAATTCACGTGAGTGAAATTTTTCCTATGTAAGAGAAGGAAACGGATAACTGGGGAGGGGGTCATGAATGACAATAAATCTCATGAACGAGCAGGCAATACACCTTACCTCAAAGGAACAAATCGGCCATTGCTGATCTTCACTTTTACTGCATGTCTAACAAATCTGCTATTAATTGAAGAACTTTTCATGTATTTAATACCAGTATGTTAAGGATAAAAAAGTTGTTACATTTCAAGTTACAATGTAATTTTGTATTTGCTTGCCACCTGCCCTTTTTGTTCCTTTTCTTTTAATAGTATAAGCTTAAATCAAGCCGTAAGCCAGTTTGTTCGTTTGAGTTCCTCACATGTTTGTATCCACGGACATATTTCAGCTTACTGTACGTCATGGGTTTTTACGGTATGGCTCTAAAGCCTTGAAAAACGAACGTGGGCACGAGATCTGTAGGCCTGATTTAATTAGATTGAAAGTAAGCAGTAATTGTATACACAGGGATCTTTATGGTATAAGAATAAGGAGATGTGGTATGATTATCAAAGAATATAAACATATATTATAGGTCCTCCTGGAGGTTATTAATGATCAGGATTGACTGTCAATCAATTTTCACACATATTTTCAAATATTTTCTTGAATTTATTTACATGCAGTTATGCCATTTTAAGGATGTTCGCTTCTCTTGTTTTTGAAATTTTGCCAGATATTCGGAATCCTCCCGGTTTTGCTGTGCCATTAAAAAAAATTGCCAGCTAACACCTACTTTTCTTTTCAAAATATCACAATTACATATAGGTAAAAAAAAAAGCCATATTTGAAAATCTTATAAAATCCTTGTTATTTTTTCATAGTTTTTTAAAAAAAGGAACCAATGTTAATTGTATGAAAAATCTAGAGAGAATCATTTCCCGTCAAATTTTCAATGGCTTATATCTCAAAAACAAGCACACAGACCCTTTATTTTCTTCTGCTTTTTTAGTTCCATTATTTGTTTACTATCAATTTATAATAGTCATTTAAAAAGCTTGTTATTTTGTAACAGAGTAGCTATACTTTCTTTTGTTTCCTATTCTGACATCGGACTCGGACTTCTCTTAAACTGAGTTTTACTGTGCGTACTGTTGTACGTTTGTTTTTCTACATTGGCTAGATGTATAGGGGAGGGTTGAGATCTCACAAAACATGTTTAACCCCGCCGCATTTTTGCGCCTGTCCCAAGTCAGGAGCGTCTAGCCTTTGTTAGTCTTGTATCATTTTTAATTTTAGTTTCTTGTGTATAATTTGGAGTTTAGTATGACGTCCATTATCACTGAACTAGTATACATATTTGTTTAGGGGCCAGCTGAAGGACGCCTCCGGGTGCGGGAGTTTCTCGCTGCATTGAAGACCCATTGGTGGCCTTCGGCTGTTGTCTGCTCTATGGTCGGGTTGTTGTCTCTTTGACACACTCCCCATTTCCATTCTCAATTTTATAGCTTGTTAAATATTATAAAAGCACAAATGTATATACTTAACATGCTAATCATAAATCTTATATCACTTTTCAGAGAAAAAGTAGAACGTTGGGACGTTTTTCGTGTTACATCAGAAGACAATGTTTCGTCATCAGACTTAACTTGTTGGAACCTCGTTTTCAAAATAGCGCGAGTGATAATGATATCACTGTTTGGACTAATAGTGCTTACGACTGCTGTTGTGTCAAAAATTACACTAACTTATATGATATCAAACATAAATGTTCCCATGGCAACCAGTAATGGAACAAATTTAAGAACATTTTTCTTAGAATTGGACTATCCAGCTAAAACAACGGAAGTCACGTGGATATGGGCGTTGCTAATTGCCATGGTAGCGCCATATTTCTTCTCACTTTTCTCATGCTTACGAAAGCTTTGTTTCAAAAGAACGAGTCCATTGAGAGTGGTTCCTTTGATAATTGTAAGTATTTAGGATCATTTTACCGAATTTAGTCATTTCATCAACTTAAACAACAATCTGATCAAAGAATAGATCCTATGTCCACGCTTCGTTTACTAGCCTTGAACACTCTACACGTATGTTTGACGTTTATCCAAAAAAATCGTATCGATATCAGTTTTCTTAGTCGCGATGATGCACACACATACACACCTTTAGAAATTTGGAGAAATGAATGTCATTGGTTGCCATTATAATCATCAGAGCAAAAAGTATAACGAAACATTGTCAGATCAATGTGAGCGAAGCGTAGACGCAGGTTCTGTATTTTAATTTGATTGCTTCAAACACAAATAATTGTCTACGGTCGAAGATTGGAGCTAGAGAAACCATCGCCAAAATATAGAATGCACTGTTTTACATGCGTGTCCTTAGGCTAAAAGGACTTAAGATCAAATGAACAATAATAAAAATAACATACCATGATAATCATATTAAAAACAAACCGCTTTAAGAAACCATGGAAAGTTGCTTATCTGCAAAGATTAACACAGTTAGATTGTTTTGCTTGGTAATTCGTTTTAATGGTGAAATTATCGAAAACATGTAACGTCTATATAAACACACATATAGTGTTCGTGTTGGAGGATCAGTTCTAAACCCTTTTCAGGGTTGTCAGAAAAATCTGCCATAGAACAGTTGTACATTGTGCTATAACAGTTCTACCCTGTCTAAATAAATCAATAGATTACAAATTGTGTATAAATAAATTAATGAATATAAGGATTCTATAGGCATCAAGAAAACTGTTCTAGAAAATGGCACAGTTCTTCTGGCAGATTTTAAGATCGAGGGGTTAGAACTGATTCCAACTAAACACACGTAAAAACTGATAACCTTGAATAGGATGATTCAGGTGGTACAACTAATTAACGCAAAAAGCAAAAGGGAGTGAGAACATACCAAATGGTGTAATCAAAACTTATCAATAGAAGGGTTGACACCACCTTTGGAAAACAAACGAAGTCATATTTAAGAAAACTAAAGGTTGAGCAATATGACGCCCTCACTCACACCATCACAATTTTTCACACGTTTTGATTAGAAATTTGTTTTTAGTAATTAGATCATTTATATTTCAGTCACTATGCGTTGAGACGTTACACTCAGCTGGGTTGTTCTTGCTAGTTTTCATTGTTTTACCGAACTTTGACCCCTTGACAGGGATTCTGATTGCTCTAAACGTTGCAACAATACCAGGTATTCTAAAAATATGTTTCCCACAAAGAACTATAAGAGACGATATAGTTCCGAATTCTAGCTTAACCACAGTACGTATAATTAACGCAGTGAGTGTATTGTGTCATTTGGGTGGTTTAGGATTGACAGCCTATTACATTTACCGTGTTGACCAATCAAACGAAACCTTGCTTGTTGTAACAATATTGTCCGCTATCTTTACGTCAATCTACTGGTGGGAAAATTTTATTCCGAAAGGCGAGAGCGAATCGAGGGGAATGAGACAATTGAAAAGGCAATTCTGCAGAGGAAAAACCAAAGTTTTATGTATTTCGATATGCTGGAAAATGGTTTTAACACTTTGCGTTATGCCTGTTGTTTTAGTCAGCCCGAGTTGTGGGGAAAATTGCACTGATTTTATATTTATCAGAACTGCTAGCAAACAAGGACCGGAAATACATAACGATATATTGAATACCGAACTCACAGACTTCCGTAATTTTTGTAAAAACTTCAACTGGGTGCCATTTCTAATTGCAATAGTTCACGTCGTTATGAATGGATTATGTTATAAATTTTCAAAAGCCGCATGCAAGATTATTGGTCAAAGATTAGCATTTGGACTACCTCTTGTTTTAACGCCACCAATAGCTTTGTCTTTTGTTCTTGGATTGCAATCAACGGCTACGATGTCGGTTTATGGTTGCGAACTGAAATTTCCGACGTGGGAAGGTGACGTCACTATTATTCAGGACCATATCGATGACTACTGGTTTGTTCTGGTTGGTGGGATCCTAAGTTACCTGTCCCTACTACTGGTTACAAGTCACGTGTGGACACCTCGAAAGGAAAGACTGCAACCCACTGATAAGTAAGTTAAATAAAAGATTTGGTATAGAAATAAAAATTCTCGAAGATATCAGGCTTAAAACTTGGCACGCCAGGTGCGCGTTTTGTCTACATCAGCCTCATCAGTTGCGCTGGAAACAAAACAGTTGGAAGTCAAAATCAAATACTAATTTGACGAGCATTAAAACCAAAAATTCCAAAAAGTTATGCCAAATAACATGAATAAGACAAACTAATATTATAGATTATGGCATTCTGAGTTATATATATGGAATTGTATTTAATTCATCTTTCTATAACTATACAGAGGTGTAAATTGCAAATTTTGATTTTGTTTAAATTGTTTTATCTCGCTTGTTTTTTGTGGGGTTTCTGTGTTATTAAAATAATAAGAGAAAAGAAAACACACGCTTTTTGGAGTACTTTAGAAATAAAGAGAGTAACAATTTATGGTTACCTAAATCAAAAAACTAAGAATTTAGCAACAAGAACCCACGGTAGGGAGGAACATCGGGTGCTCCGGGTCTGCATTAAACAGCTCCTTATATTTATTGACTAAGAAAAGAACGATAATTCATCATTTGTAGGTGGAAATTGTTTTCCAGCACAATCGTTTTTCTTATTCCATATAAAAACATTTGTATTCTGAATAACATAAACGAACCTGATTTTGTAATCAATGTTGTTTTTATTTATTTTAATTTGACCGCCGTCACATACAAACTGTTATTTACACTTACCCTTTGGTACCAATTGTTTTTGCAAGACATTTTGAAATCAAACAGTTTTACTGTGCGTATTGCTGCGTGTTTGTTTTTTTCTACATTGGCTAGAGGTATAGGAGGGTTGAGATCTCACTAATCATGTTTAACCCCGCCGCATTTTTGCGCCTGATCCAAGTCCGGAGCCTCTGGCCTTTGTTAGTCTTGTATGATTTTTGATTTTAGTTCATTTATATGTTTTGGAGTTTAGTATGACGTCCATTTTTACTGAGCTAGCACACATTTTTGTTTAGGGGCCAGCTGAAGCCCCCCTTCGGATGCGGGATTTTCTCGCTGTGTTGAAGACCCATTGTTGGCCTTCGTCTGTTTTCTGCTCTTTGGTCGGGTTGTTGTCTCTTTGACACATTCCCCATTTTATTGAAAAAAAACTATGCCGCCCACAAAAGATGAATAGTCGGCGCCTAGGACAAAATGTGTTAAGCTTAACCACGGAAACCTCACTGGTAAAAAAACCCACTTTGGTCATAAAATATTAATGAGGTTAAAGATGAAAATTTTGAATTTAATTAATCTTTATGAAAACAGCTTGAAAAAGACATAAATAATATTCATCCAGGATTTATGGAATCAAGATTTTTTATAGCTGTAAATTGCAATTACTTATATCATGTTTTAATATTATGCACCTTACTGTTCCGTTCATTAGAAAGTCTTTTGCACTGAGGAGAGTGAACACCACACCTGCATAATCATTACTAGTTGGGTTTTTGTTTTTGCAATTTTTACTGTTGGTATATGATGTTTAATATTTTATAATATTTACATTGTGTATATTGTTGTATTGTTTGCCTTCAACCCCTCGGTGTATAAATATGCATTACTTAATAAATATAAAGCAAAATCATTGAATTCCCCTCTAGGTTGTTCGTCAAACCATTGTATTGTGGAATGCTGTTAGACCAATCTCTCCTTCTAAACAGGAGAAGAGTCGATGACGAATTTCTGTCTGCATCAGAATTCAAGGTACGTTTTAAATACATATTTTTTTTGTATCATTAGATTTGCAACCATTGATTTATTTTACGTACACGTATGGTATTATAAACATATATGATTGGATACGCAACGTATAAAAATACAACTGCAATTTCTTTTTTTTTTTTACTTATGGGAACTAGTTTGATTGAACAAAGTTAGTAGCGTCATTTAAACAATGGCTAACGTTTTCGTGATTGCAAAATCAATAAGTTTAATAGGGAGACAATTTGGACGCGGTAAAAATCTCCTGGAGTACAGGCACTTGTCTCTATGAGATAAGTCGGAAGATGAATAATGAATGGATGGATTTGTGTTAAACACCAGTGGCAAGTATTACATGCATATCAGGAGAACGATGTTGAAAAGATATAGTAACGAGCCCTGATTGGGCGCGATGAACCGGATTTTAACAAACAATTCACGAGGTCAAAGTCCGGAGGGAGACATGCCAAGTCTTTAATTTGCTTCGGTCGGAGATTGAATCAATGACCTAAAGCATTACAGTCTTAGCTCGGTACTAGTGTTTTCAAAGTGAAAATGACGAGTTAAAATAAACCTCGCCAAGCCTCAAATTTGTATGACGGAATGAATTTCAGTGTCAATTTATCAGTGCGTCTTGAAGTTAAGTACCCCTTAGTAAATAAATTATAAATACATGAATACAAATAATGTTATTTATTTCACTTATATCGTCAAAAGCTTTTTTTTTATTTTGACAGTATACAAAAACAAAAGACGAAGACACCATTCCAATACCTGATCTTCCGGAAGACGGCATCTTTAATCCTACAGAAGACTGGTCAGTGTTGAGGAAGGATGATACTCCCATGCTGTATATGTGTGCCACCATGTGGCATGAAACTGAAAATGAAATGACACAGATAATGAAATCACTCTTCAGGTTTGTATTGACATAGATAATGAAATCACTCTTCAGGTTTGTATTGGCATAGATAATGAAATCACTCTTCAGGTTTGTAATGACATAGATAATGAAATCACTCTTCAGGTTTGTAATGACATAGATAATTCTTCAGGTTTGTAATGACATAGATAATGAAATCACTCCTCAGGTTTGTAATGACATAGATAATACTTCAGGTTTGTAATGACAGTTTGATAGTAATCGTAGCTTTAGTTTTGGTTACATTAAAGGGAAGTTTCCCGTTCTTCATACCTTGCAGAACCTTCCTATTGTGTGAATTGGTGATTTGGTCTCTTTTTGAATATGAATATTGCCCAATTGACGATTAGCAGGTAACAATCAATAAATCAATCAATGTGATGGAACAGTAGTCAAAACTATATGACCATGTATTTAAAGCTTATTTTGAATTGTGAATATAGATAGACTATTGTTTTTCATACGTGTGTAGACAGATTAATTGATGATACAGACTAAGTCGCCAAATCATACTAGCACCAGAAGTCATGTATAGAGGTCGCAACAAGTTCAGCAATAATTAGAGTTGTCTATTTCATAATGGCTCACGATAAATCACTTTCAATCCGCTAGTCATTTTAATTAACACCCGGAGTATTTTCAGTGTAACGTGAGAGATTTACAATCGTATTGTGCGAACGTGTTTTGTTTTAATATGACACCATAGTTCAATATAAAAAGGTGTAGTCTACATTTGTTTGTCCTTTGTATCAGATTAAAAAAATGCACTAAGTGATATTCTAAAACAAGGAAGTCGTTATTATTCGTTTACAGCTTCAAGTATTCAAATATGGAGGCAACGCTTTCCGACACTTTTTTTTACAAGCATTCATACATTTTGTATGCGCTTCTCAAAGGAGAAAACAGAGTTAATCTAGTAAAGCCATGAATTTCAGACCTTCATACATGATATATTCATTAGTGACAAAAAGCAAAAATTTAAAGAATGAACAAATAATAAACAAACAAATAAGTAGTAAAACGAAAAGAATAAAATATAAAGGTGAAACAGACAAACATCAGTGCAGTCATTAACATGCACACGATAAGATTATATTTAACCATACAACGTCAAGGCGTAGTAGATAACTTATGTTATCATACTTCATGTCAAAATGCCAGATTTTGATTGGTTGATAGAAGGGAGACAATTTACTCTATCCCATGGCACACACTCTATTACCTATTCACATAGACGCTTGATCAAGTGTGCGCTTTACTAAATACGGATGATTGTTATGTACAAGACGTCACAGTTTATATCTTTGAATTTGATATTAAATAGACAGTAATAACAGAACATTCAGTATAATAAATTAAATAACACATATCTTGGCTTTGCCTCAGTTGACAATGTTTTCTCGGGGTAACAATCTGCTCTATCATCCTCTCAGCTATGTGTTATTTATATATTTTACAGTAAAATAGACAAGATTTTGTATAGCTGTATATTGCAAAAGGATATTTTGTATAGTGTAATTTTTTATCTTAATTAATTGATTTCGTTAACTTAAACTGACGTGTTACGACAACTCCTTTACTTCATGATTGGTAAGTATTCCAAACAAAATGTTGGTTGTTTTTTTTAACTTCTAGATGTGTTTATTTCTACTTCAATATGGTTTGTTCTAGCAAAGAATGAAGATACTTTTACTGTTGTGTCCCATAAATGATTTGTTCTAAACATAAAAGTGACGTAATTCTCAGTCATTGACAGCACCAGGAAGTTTCTATACTTTATTCAAGTATGCTATACCGGTGTCACAATATTGTTGTACTAATATTATTGCAAGTCATGGAACTGACAAAAAAGTTGGATTGTTTTTAATATTTTAAACAATAAAAAAATCAATATATCTTTTAAATTATGTTCAAATGAAGTAAATATAACAAGTGATAATTTCTATTGACTACCAATGTCTTCCTACATGTATTTGGCACATGAACAGCTAGTTTTAAAACTAAGTGTCGATTAAAAGCATAATTTTGTAACAGAGTAGCCTCAGATGAACCGCTTTATAAAAAAAAATACATCGCGTTTGAAATACCACGAAAGTTAACAGAATAGAGAATAATGGGCAGAAAAAGAATGAATAGAGAAAACAGGATGAAAAATAGAGAATAGAGAACGGGGTGCGAAATTATTAAGAATAGAGAATAATGGACAAAGAAATAAATAATACGGAAAATGAGGATCCCACTCCCTAGATAATGAAACTTCAGTGCTATCTTTAAGCGCTTGATAAATATATGCTTGTCACTACCATAAACATGGAGTTGAAATTTTTAGCATTAATGAGGGACAAAAATCATCAACGAGGAAAGCATTTTGCATCATTTTCATATATACATGTATTAGATACCAAACTTAAAGGATATCGATCTGAGTTGTTAATATTTATCTTTAAAGAACACTTCTGAAATTCACGTGCTGACTTTTATTTATTAGGCCCTTTTGAGGTGCACGGGGGAAAATTCTACACCAGGTTATGAATTGTAACCATGAGCACCTGCATCCATCTCGACCATTCCTGGCTTTCAAATTGCCCATTTCTTGCATAACGTTTTGAGAATATTTTGATTTTTCTTACAAAAAACATAAAAATAAGAGAGACAATATCACGACCGAAAGGAAAATCAAATAATCACGGAAGTTGTTCGTTCATCGTGAAATGGCAATTTTATTTCGCGTTCTTCCGTGCAGATACACCCCCCTTTACGCTCCTCTTATTAGAATTACGTAATACGCATACAGTTATGTAATGTGCATACGCATAGTATTTATTAATTTATTGCTCATAAATTTCACTGAAACATTACTACTTTATCCATATATACTTCGAGGTCATACTTAAGTCATCTTTGTATATTTAACTCTCATGACTATTCAAGTACTTTTCAAGTCTGTTACATACAAAGTATTGATCCAACCGAGGGTGTAAAACATCGAACATGCACATATTTAGAGTCATCGAAATCCAGCAAAGAAGTGTACTCAAAACAGTGCTTTAGGGGACTGTCTTTAACTATGAATGAGATGTGATCTTTTTCTCTGTGTTAATGGCCACATTTATATTCAGAGGCGATGAACAGCAGTAAGAAGAGCAGTGCCATTACTTTGGGATTGTCAAATCGGTGCAGTTATGTTTCGTCAAATCGGTATAGTGGTGTTTCGTCAAATCGGTACAGTGTTGTTTCGTCAAATCGATGCAATGGTGTTTCGTTATTAACACAGTGAAACACCACTTTCAGTCTTTCCAAAGTCAAAAATTAAAAACTATTTTATGTTGAAGGTAACTGATATAGTCTACAAATACAAGCTTCTGTTCAATTAAAATGTTTGGATAATAAAACAACGAGAATAATAATAATGATAAAAATAATTTTAATGGAAATAATGAAACCTTATCAATTTAATATTCCAACTTGATTACTAACATAAAGCTTAAGGTGGAACCAAACACCTTGACTAAAATTAATTTGGCTCGTTTAATTTTCATAAAATTATATCAAAATATTTACTTTGACCCTTTGACAAAAATATAAAAATTTCAAAAAACTTGAACCACACACTTTATCGGAAAATTTCATTGGATAAATAGCAGTTTGACAAATACTAATTTTGATCATTGAGAAGCTTAATATTTCCTTTACAATAGAACGTGATTAAAACGTTCAGCTGGTTTTTACAGAGTTATCTCCCTGTAATGTCATGTACACCTTAAATCAGATAATATTTATTCCATATGTATACTCTGGATAGATACTATAGCAGGTCAAATTAACTCAAGGACAAATCCTAATCATGGTCGCAATCTCATGGATAAGAACGGCCTAACTATTCATGGTCTCAATCTTATGGAAAATCTAATCATGGGCGCAATATTATGGATAAGAAAAAAAAATAACAAAAATACCGAACTAAAAGGGAAATTCAAAACGGAAAGTCCTGTATAAAATGGCAAAATGAAAAGCTAAAACACATCTAACGGATGGAAAACAACTGTCATATTCCTGACTTGGTACAGGCATTCCTTATGTAGAAAAATGGTGGACTTAACCTTGTTTTATAGCTAGCTAAACCTCTCACTTGTATGGCAGTCGCATTGAATTCATTTTTGAACAGTTTGCCTATCTTCGTCTCAACCTTAGCGTTAGATGCAATGTACCTAAGTTTCTATCTAATATTGAACTATTTATCCTTCGGGAACAATGGTCTTGAAATCCACCTGCATTAGTTTTCATTTTGTCTTGCTTTTTAATTAAGAATGTCCCCCACTATCATGTTTCTCCAGATTATCTGTACAACAGGATGTATAGTATGGTATTCATTTCGTTTTATCACGACAGTTCGTTCAATTTTTTTGTGTTACGTAATATTTTGAACAAGGAAGAAACATTTCTCATGATTAAATATTAAAAGGCATACAATTATGTAATTCATGTTAGCTTTCAAATCATTACTCATTTTTTCTATCATAAATTTTATTATAGCAAGCTAGCGTAAATATTAGTTTATACCTCTAATGTTATTTTGTGACATCGGAGTTCATAAAACTTTCAATACGTTATGTTTTATTTATTTTACAAACATTTAAATGGAAAACAAATATTGATTCAAAAGAGGGTGACTGTAAAACTTATACTACACCAATACACAGATGGCGCGCTATCAACATATACCTAAAAAATCCGCTCGAACCGGATCAATGAATTGTCCTGAACTTGCTGTGAGGGTGTGTCGAGCTTTTATATGAAAGTGATCAATGTTGAAGGTCTCAATATGCGAAAGCACAGTTACTATAGTGAAATACTGCATTTTTGATATGAGTCATGATTATGCATGTTATAATGACCGTGCAGGGGTGTAGGAGCCGGGGACAAAGAGAGCAATTGCCATTACCATTTTTTCCATATTTCATTGAAAATAAAAAACTTGAAAAAGGATGCTGACTAACTTCTGAACTATTAGACTATAGATGTTTTGTTTTAGTTGTCACTTTCAGAAGTTTTATCTCCCCCTCTTTTCCGACATTTAGGTCTACTCTACTCTTACGCCACTTCCGTTAAAATGAACAGAAAGAAGTTTTATATAGTTGTTCATTAAAAACATTATGAACATTCGATAGTATTATGTAAATTATTGTTTTTTTTTTTTAGAATGGATGAAGATCAATGTGCACGTCGCCATCTTCAATTGTTTCTTGGTATTAAAGACCCGGATTACTATGAATTTGAAGGTACATTTTTTTCTTGTTTATACAGTGCAGTGTTGTCGAATGTGTAGCGCGTAATGCTCGTCTATCGATTGGTTTCAGACAGACCAAATGACGTAGATGTCAGCAACCATATGTCGTCGTGTTACCTTCAACAATGAGCAAAACTAATAAAAGACCCAGGGGTAACAAAATGTAAAACAATTCAAATGTCAAAACCAATGGCCGGATATAAATACTTATTTAAAACAACAAACGGTTGCAAAGGACAACCACTGAATTACAGTCTCCGGATTTAGAACGAGCACAAACAGATTGTCAAGTCCATGTTAAATCAAGAAAAAAATATATCTGTAAAATATCTCTTATCATTCATATTATTTCCTAATTTTCCAGCACACATATTTTTTGATGACGCGTTTGACTACCATAGCTTAGAAGAATATGAATACAGAGCCAATGATTATGTCAAAATGATGTTTGCTTGTATAGACCTGGCAGCAAGGTAAGATACACTGAATTTAAATACACCGTTGAAAATTACATGTAGTAATCAGATAAAAGACCAGCGTGTGACGAAGATATAAAATGCATGTTGTTCAACGAGTCAACTCACTGTCTTCTGTCTGTGAATGATTTGAAGACATACTTCACCTTGAATTGATATGTCTAAGCAAAACATGATTATTGTTAAACATTTTCCAATCAATATGGACAGTACATTCTGCCCATTCTAAACTTTGGAACGAGTTTCAAAATAAAACAATGCTGTTCCTTAGACATATCTATGATGTACTTTTAATTGATAAATCCAGGATACCACATTTATAACTTGATCGTCACAATTCTATTCATCCTTTTACCTCTCACGTCTAATGAAAGGAGTGCCATACTATGAATAACTTTAAGTTAAAACCAGTACAATAGGTTAATGAGTTTATCATATTTATATCCGTTTTTCCATTTAGTGCTGTTCATAGTGTGATGATGAAAATTCCACCTCCGACTAAAGTTCCCACACCATATGGTGGACGACTTATTTGGCGCATGCCTGGAGGAAACAAAATCATTGCTCATTTGAAGGATAAGGCTAAAATTAGGCACAGGAAGAGATGGAGTCAGGTATATAGAAATTCTAATTCATCATCGTGAAAAAGAAAAAAAACATAAAGTCCGTACCTGCAATTAAAATAAAAACCAAAAGGAAATGAATAGCATCTGTAGTAATTATTATGTTCTTCGTCACAAAGTAACATTGAAGCCTTTGACACGGAGAAAAAGCTAAAAAAATTACCACAATGGGTAACACGACGGGTGTCACATGTGGAGCAGGAACTGCTTACCCTTCCAGAGCATATAAGTTCAACCCCGGTTTCTTGTGGGGTTTGTGTTGCTCAGCTTTATAAGTTTGTATGTGGAGTTTGTGTTGCTCAGCTTTAGTTTGTATGTGGGGTTTGTGTTGCTCAGCTTTAGTTTGTATGTGGGGTTTGTGTTGCTCGGCTTTAGCTTGTATGTGGGGTTTGTGTTGCTCGGCTTTAGTTTGTATGTGGGGTTTGTGTTGCTCGGCTTTAGTTTGTATGTGGGGTTTGTGTTGCTCAGCTTTAGTTTGTATGTGGGGTTTGTGTTGCTCGGCTTTAGCTTGTATGTGGGGTTTGTGTTGCTCGGCTTTAGTTTGTATGTGGGGTTTGTGTTGCTCAGCTTTAGTTTGTATGTGGGGTTTGTGTTGCTCAGCTTTAGTTTGTATGTGGGGTTTGTGTTGCTCAGCTTTAGTTTGTATGTATTGTTTTGTAGATTTCGTCCGTTTTTTTTTTGCAGTTTTTTGTTTTTTGCCGTGGAATTGTCAGTTTTCTTTTCGGCTTATTATTAAATGTCCCGTTGATATCTCCAGCTCGTTTTTTAGATAGATCACCATGGACATTTAAAAAAAACAAATCTAGATAACCAGATGATCTTGAAATTTTGCCAGAAAATTGTAAGATTTATCAATTTGCTGCTAACCCATCTGTATGTTCTCTAAAGCAAAATGCCCTTGACTATTAGTGTTCCACACTTTATTTTCGTCATGCTTGAAGATTTATAATATTTGTTATATAGTGTGACCATGACAAATTATTATAGATCAAGGTCGGTTTTTTTCCCCGTTCAGATGATTTTCTGTCGATCAATCTATTAATCTTGTTGATACAACTCCTGTGGTGAAACTTTATTCACAAGAAAATGTTTTCCTATATTTTAGTGTAAACAGATTTAGTGTTCAATATTTGCACAAGGAGATATTTGGACTTTGAATATAGAAAATATAACAAATTACCGATTAACTTTTTGTTTCAGTACAATGATTTTTTAACCGACAGGGGACTATGTATTGCCATGCAATACTCTCAGAATGCTTGTTTCACTTTGTTTAATCCCACTTTTTGAATAAGTTTCAAAAAGTACAACCATGCGCGATAAGGCTAATACGCAATTTGAGTAATGTAATTCAATGGTATATTTAAACGCAGTGTAAAACCAATTTTATATTGACAGGTTATGTACATGTACTATTTCCTTGGACACAAACTAATGAATCTGAAAGACAAGACAAGGAAACAAAAGGAGAAAATAGCACAGAACACATTTCTCTTGGCCTTAGACGGGGATGTAGATTTCCAGCCATCAGCTGTTCAGCTTCTGGTGGACAGAATGAAGAAAAACCCAAATGTTGGTGCCGCTTGTGGTCGTATACATCCTATCGGTTCAGGTAAATTGGTCGTATACATCCTATCGGTTCAGGTAAATTGGTCGTATACATCCTATCGGTTCAGGTAAATTTTAAACATGTAAAATGAACGAGGTATCTATAAATATGAATCGTGCTTCAAAGAATTGAGATGTTTAAACTTTGATATAAAAGAGGGTCTGGATGGTTAAAACATGAAGTCAAGAGATTGAAGTCAAATTTATATCCAGATCAAATCAAATACTAATAACATCATCGTTGATGTCAAAATACTTCTGATTTCTATGTCTTAAAGGAACACAAAAAAAAAACAGGAGCAGATTATTTGGGGCATACCACAAACCGGAAGTAGAAGAAAATGTAGGACGCATGAAAATTAAATCATTTGTCTTTTTAGGACCTATGGTTTGGTACCAGAAGTTTGAATATGCTATCAGTCATTGGTTACAGAAAGCTGCAGAAAATGTCATGGGGTGTGTTTTATGCAGTCCCGGATGCTTCAGCTTATTTAGAGGCTATGCATTAATGGACGATAACGTGATGAAACGATACACAACGCCACCTACCGAAGCTAGTCACTACGTACAGTATGACCAAGGTTTGATTCTTGAAATTAAAAATGTACAAGTTTAACCTTTCTAAAAGGCATGGAGTACGTGCTTCGCAGTGTCATAAATTACGTCAAGTTGAAGCAATCGTTTTGATGGGGTCTTGAATACCCATACTGTAGTTTTAGTCCTTATCTTCTGTATTTAATATCTTCTTCTGTACGGGACATGCTCCCCATTCTAGTCAAATATACGACCTGTAGTTGTTTACTTCTATGCCATTATGTCTCTGGTGGAGAGTTTTCTTGTTGACATTCATATTACTATATCTTCTTATTTTTTTACAATAGAACCTTAGCCGCATCATAATGCAACCAACTATAAATTTGTTAGGAAATAATTTAAAGATGGTGTTAATATCGAACGAAACTGATACCTTCGCAATGTGATACAAAGAATAAATAAAATAGAAACAAATCTGAGAATCGTGTAACAACAGATTAAATGTTAATCAAACTTCATTCGCACCGTGAAATAATTTCAAGATGGTGTGAATATCGAATGAAACTAATACCTTTGCACTGAATTTTCTATTTCTATTTTATTTTTCTTAATCTGCTACCCTTCCGGAGCATGTAAGATCACATCCCGGTTTGTGGTGGAGTTCGTGTTGCTCAGTTTTTTAGTTTTCTATGTTGTGTTTTGTCTTTTCGTCGGTTTCCTTTTTTTTTTGCCATGTGGCATTGTTTCCGACTTGTGAGTTTGAATGTACCTTTGGTATCTTTTGCGTCTTTTTAGCACGCGTTACACTTAAAGGATTTGAGAACGCTTGCGTAACCAAGTTTTGAAAGATAAATATAATATCCTGCGTGGCTTATTTGTAAAACCATATTCTTATAAATAACGGTCTGGATAGGTGTCTCTTATTTCTTTACTCTTCATTTTGTTTCCTCTATTCTTTACTTGTTTTGCCAATTATTCTCTATTTTTTTTATAATTCAGCAACCCGTAATTCTCTAATCTCAATTCTTTTTGCTTATTCTTTATTCTTTAATTTTTTGCCTTTCACTCTGCACTTTTAAATTATATATATATAGATATAAGGAGCTCATTCGTCTCTATTCTGTATAACTCATCCAGGCCCTCCTTTACGTTATTTGTTTACATATTTTAGGTGAGGATCGTTGGCTCTGTACCCTTTTGCTACAACAAGGATACAAAGTAGAGTATGTTGCTGCGTCAGATGCCTTGACCTATGCCCCGGAAGGATTTAATGAATTTTATAATCAGCGTCGACGATGGTCCCCTTCAACAATGGCAAACATTATGGACCTTTTAATGGATTGGAAAAATGTCACGGCCAAAAACGAGGACATTTCAAAACTGTACATCGCCTACCAAATGTTTATGATGGTATCCTCAATATTGACCCCTGGAACGATATTGCTGATGATTCTTGGATCGTTGTATACAGCTTTCCCAGCGATTGAACCATGGACAGCGTTTGTTGTCAATCTTATTCCAGTGGTCATAATGGTGGTTCTTTGTTTTGTTGCTAAAACGGACGTTCAGGTATTATTTTATTTAGATGAATTTCGCTATTATGTTCAGATCAATTTTGGTCATATAAATGTAATTCTTCAACTGTTTCGGTTCTTGTACATCCTTGGCTTTCAAATATTCGGCTTTGAACGTTGTTGATAAAGATAGATCCAGAAAAGCGCTTTGGACGCATAAAATTTGACAAAAATGTTGTTTTTCATGTTTGTATGATGTAAGGCTGTGTTATCTGTTACGTTATAGAAGAGTTCCGATAAGTGGCCGCTGAGGGAGCTACCATTTGATTTTTATGGGGGGGGGGGGGGGGGGGGCTAGGATGAAATTTAAAAAAAATTGGCAGGACAGGAGTTTTGAGTAAAAAAAAGGCAGGATGAGCAACTTTGCCAAAAAAATAAGGCGGGATGACAATTTGTGTAAAAAAAGTCAGGATAAAGTAATGAAAAAAAAAGGCAGGACCGAAAAGAGTAAAAAATAAAAAGGCAGGACAGATATCACAACTAAAAAAATGCAGGACAAAATTTTTCATCCTATTTTGTCCACCATTAACTCGTTGGTTTAATTACTTATAATATTTTTCAGTTGAGTTATGCGGCCATTTTGTCCACCTTGTACTCGTTGTTGATGATGATAGTTATAGTTGGATTGTTGAAGGAGGCAGTCGGGGCCGCATTTTGTTCTGTGACAACGTTCTTCCTAGTTTTTGTAGCTGGTGTATTTGTTCTCTCAGCAATGCTTCACCCACAGGTAAACATATAAGTAAAACTTTCAAATGAGGGTCTGGATTGGGGGTCTTTCATTTTTGTAATCTTTCAATTTTTATTTTTTTTGGGGGGGGGGGGGATTTGTCTGTTTCTTTGAAAATAACGTTTATTCTGTAAAATTTCCATGGAAATCTTTTAACTATTAGATTTACTAGTATTTGCTTTTCATGATTGCTCAATTTTCTCTATTCATTGATTTTTTTGGAAATTATTCTCTATTTTGTAAACCCCATCTAGACCCTCTTAAGTACTAGTTATGAACCTGGACCATTGAGGAAACAAGTTAGGGTATGAATCAAAGAAAAAGATAATTGAATTATGGGCCACGAAATTAAAGAATAAAGATGATGGATGGCTTTAAAACGTCCAGAGCCAAATTGAATAAATATGAGAGCATGTTTATGTGATAGGAATATGAACCCTCCTTTGTACAAGACCAACACGCTGAGCCATATTTTTAGCGTGCTAGTTCATACCGTAACAGTCTGTAGGAAGACATGGCATCCTACCTAGACAAATCAATCTGACTCAGAGCCAGGTTTGCAATAATAAGAATACAAATCAGTTTTTGTATGAATCCACCAAGTATACCAGACTCATATTCAAATACGCCTGACTACTTAAGAATCATTGGCGCTCGAATAATACAATTGGAAGAGTATTGAAAATTAAAATATCTATTTTTTTATGTTTTATTGTGATGATATCAAAATTAATAATGATAAGTTATTGGAGCATATTGATCACATCTTCGTAAGAATGCTGTTACATCTACAATGTAATATGAAAATAAGAAGATGTGGTATGATTGTCAATGAGTCAAGTTTCCACCAAAAACACAATCAATTTTAGGTCACCGTATGACCTCTACAAAGTGTAAAACACATATTACATACGAAGTTATAAAAGACCCTCACATGGCAAAATGTAAAACAATTCAAACCAGAAAACTAACCAGCCAGGTTTATGTAAGAAACACTAAACCAAAAACAAATATGACATACAGCAACAAACGACAACGTCTGAATTACAGGCTCTTGACTTTGGGCAGGTATATATAGAATATGACGTCATTAAACATGTTGGCGGGCTCCCAACCCTCCCCTAATCTGGGCACATTTATGAACATAATTATGGGTGTTTTTTGTTTAGGAATTTTGGTGCATTATCCATGGCTTACTGTATTTTCTTGCAATCCCATCCATGTCTATGCTGTTGATGATTTACTCTCTCGGCAATCTGCACGTGGTATCCTGGGGAACACGTGAGACAAAGGCACCAACTCCACAACAAGGAGCGCAGCAAGAAAAACCTCAGCAGAATGCAGTACAGAACTGGTTGGAAAAAATTGGATTATCGGACAACAGTCAGGCGTCATCCGAATATCAGTTTTCGTTCGGAAATTTGTTTAGGTTAGTCTTGCTCTATCTCATCCGAAAACTATGATACACCTGATGTCAAAGTTCAATTTTTTTGTCAGAATACTATTAAGTTATTAAAAAAATTGTGCATACATTGTAAAATTAAAATATATTTTGTTTAGCGTTTTGTACTCAGTATATATAATATATATACAAGGTAGGTATAATCTAGATCTTTTCTAACAGTATACAGTCAATATGACACCTGGACATTACAAGTGATGTCGATTAATCCTTTCTCCCATTACTGATTAATATTAATATATTTACAGTTTATATAACTAAGGATTTTTTTTAATCATCAATATATAAACACGAAGTCACACGTCAATATGATAATCTTTTTTCGCACATTCTAATTTCTGTAAATATATTCTTTCTTCTTATACCAGAAACTTGATACCATTGATTAGTTATGATTTCAGTAGGGTCAATACAGTCAGAATTTGTTTAATTTACATTTGCGACATGTGGATCATGATCTGTTTACCCGTCCGGAGCACCTGACTTCACCCTCGCTTTTTTCGCTTGCTCAGATTTTTTTATATACATGTCGTGTTTTGTAGGCATATGTTTGTCTTTTTAACGTTTTTTAAAGTTTGTGTCATGGAATTGTCGGTTTTTCTTCGAATGATGATTTCTGATTTTCCCTTTTGTATCCTCTGTCTCTTGTTTTCCCATTTGCTTCTTTTTAACACGATAACCTTATAAAAAATAAGGTGATATAATATGATTGCCAATGATACAACTACCCACCAGAGTTTAAATGTCGTTGAAGTAAGCAATTATAGGTCACCGTACGGCCTTCAACAGTGAGCAAAACCCATACCGTCTAGTCAGCTATGAAAGTCCACTTAATATATTTACATATTTAAGATCACAAAAGTGATACTTGATAACTAAAATATTACTTCTACCCTCTGTAAGCATTACCTTTTCATCTTTAAGGTGTATGTGTTGTCCACGGTCTGATGTTCAGAATGAGGATGCTAGGTTGCGAGCTATATTGGAGCGACTGGAAGACATGGATAACAAAATGACGGAAGTGACGTCATTTTCACAACGTGGTAGCATTTCCGGGTCATCAAAACCGGACAAGAAGGACGAAGAAATGACACCATTTTCAAAACAGGATGTCCTAATGGACGGTGGCGAAAGAAGTAAGCTAACAGCAAATTAAAAAAAGGCGTGCTGCTTAGAATAGAATAATAAATTTAATAACATTTTCGAGAAAAGAAAAAAAACAATAATATTTCCTCCTATCCCATGCAAGTGAACACTAATTTTTACCATATTTAAAGTATACGCTCCAACTTCCTCCACCAATCAAAACTGGCCGCCAAGAAGTAGCGATTGGTGCTAAAAGTGGCGTTAAACACCAAAAATTACTTAAAGGCCAACAATAGCAATTTATATCACATAATAATAAGGTAACATTTAACGTGTTTTTGTTTAAATGGTGTTGTTTAATTACTGACTTATTGATAATTATCACTAAATCTCTTTTATAAATGTTTCAAAATCCAGATACATGTATATCATAAGAAAACAAGAACGTTGAGGAAGGAGAATAATATGATTGTCATTGGACAACAAGACGAGATGACAAACGAAATTCAGCCGAAAATAACACAAAAACTAAGACTGAATAGCATTAACCCATTGAACCAAAGTGTTCCGGAAAGGTAGGGTGTACTGGTACAACTCTGATGTTAGAAATGATCACCGACAAAGTCTTCGCCACATGGATTTAAGCATAAACAACGGGAAAGTATTATGTCCTCCTTGAGGGTAGGAATATCCTGATCCACTTTTGACAACCGTTGTGCTACTCATGACTAGGAAAATGTCTTCACTCCGCAAGGATATTAGCATGCGGAAAACAGAGGATGCTCTCATGTGCTTCATAAGGGTATGAAGTTCCGGCTCCACTATTGACACCCATGGTGTTGCTCATGACTAGCAAACATTCTTCACCCCGCATGGATATTAGCATGCAATAAATCGAGGTAGATCTACTGTGTGCCATAAGAGTAGACAGTTTATGTTCCACTTTTGACAACCGTCATGTAACTCATGGCTAGGAAATGTCTGGTGATAAGTCAGTAATATAAAAAAAAGAGTAAATGTGTTGCTATTTTGTGAAGGAGAATGATTGCAACTTGAAACTTCAAGTTATTTTACTTGCAGAATTAAACGCCCCCATCGTATTTGCCGGTAATGTTTATATGGCCTGACGAATCATTAATATATTAAAAAGAAATATTAATATTATCAGTCAGCAACCTACAATCGAACGATAAACACTAGAAAAGTTATAACTGACAAAGCTCAATTGTCGTTCTTATTACAAAAAAGTTCATTGTGACCATTCCCTGGTAGATCACTACCTGACGTCTCCCTTTTAAATACACTGCGTTTTAAAATACCATTAATAGTTTACTATCGTATTGAAGCTCACATATTGTATTCAGAGTCCTCGTCTTCAAGGTGAATATCATGCCTTTAAATTTGATTTTATTATGTATGTTGGTGAGTTTCAGATCCAGTTTCGTTTTGGATGACTTAGTTTTAACAAAACAAACGGGGATCCTTGATTTATTCCAAAGATTGGGTATTCATGGTTACCCACCAAAATTAGTTTCTTCTTTCGTAAAGTTACATAGATATATTACAGCAAACCCACGATATAAGGATAAAGACAGATGAAAAGAGACGAAACCATGGTGTCACTACAAAATTAGTTTCTTTTATCATAAAAAACATAAATATATTTATATTTTACAGTAAATCCAATTTACAAGGAAGAAAAACAGAAGAAAAGAGACGAACTAACAGATCCTTATTGGGTTCACGATGGCCAGTTACGCAAAGGAGCGATTGAGGTTCTGGATAAAGGGGAGGTTGACTTTTGGCAAAAATTCATCAAGAGATACCTGTTTCCAATTGAAAGTAACAAGGAACACGAGAAGAAAGTAGCTAATGATCTGATTGAGCTCCGAAACAAAGTTTGCTTAGCTTTTCTTCTTATCAACGCACTATTTGTTACAATCGTATACACGCTTACGGAAGTGAACAAATCGGACGGTTCTCTGTCAATTCCGCTTCCATGTCATAGTGGCAATGATAAGTCTGATGCAAATACAGGAAATACAGGTCAAGGGAAGATTGAACCTATATCCTTCGCTTTCACAGGTGTATTTGGGCTCATGCTGTTCATACAATTCATTTGCATGTTATTTCATCGCTATTCCACTCTTTTACACATCATTGCTAGTGCAGAGGTCAAACTTAAAAAGCATATAAGAAAAGCTATTGGAAATAACCAAGAACAAGATGTACAAAATATCGGTATAGAAGATGGATTAGATCTCGTTCGTCAAATGCAATCTTCAAATGAACCGGATAGTGATACTGTTTCTCTTGATTCGTTCGATCATCTCGGGGACGACACGACACGTGATGATGATGACGAGTTACCAGGAGAACCGAAAGGGAAAGATTTATGGAACAAACTTCAGAAGAGGAGAAAACAAATGGCTGCAAACACATTAAGTAAAAATTTCATTAAAAATTTCACAAAGTTACAACTCGTTGTGGAGTCGGATGAGACAGCAAGTATCTCGCCGGTATCTGGGGATAACTTCGGGTTTACTGAAGATCGTATCGGAAATGTCCAGAAACAGTTTGGAAAGAGACGATTTTCGAGAAAATCTTTACATACTATCGTAAATATAGTCCAGAACGACTCCATTAAGGACGAAATAAAAAAACGAGCAGACCAACTAACCAAGATTGATGATTTAAGGAAGGAGAGACTGCGGGCAATTCTAAGGAAGGCAGTTCTGAAGGCTAATTCTGAAAACAAAACAAGGTCTACTTTAGGGAGTGTTGTACAAGCGAATCTAGTCCAGCGAAACATATCCAGAATCGATAAAGAAATGGATGAACAAATTCATAATATGGACCCTCCTCCGATAGCATCTATCAGTGAGGAAGACGTTGAACCACGTGACAATGCTAGCAACACATCTTGGCCAAGCGAAAGTAAATATGCTTTAAAGAGCACAAAGGACGACACCAAGGATCTTAATAACTCAGATTTATTGTTTTGACATTTTTGCACTTATGGAATCCGTACCCTAATGATATCGATCATCATGAGTCATCCGCAAAAGTTCGTTTATTACAAATACGTCTTCGATAACCTTCGGATTTCATCGGGTTTCATCGCAAACGCTATATAATTAAATATTTAGGTAGATTGTTTAATCATAACTTTAAACTTTAAATTTGTAAATTTATCATTCAACATGATTGTAAAATGAAATATTTCTAAACAAATATGTATTGTACATGTTTCGGTTTGTGCATGAATAACATATTCAGACACATGATGCAAGTTTGCGATTATACCTTTTAATCAATTTTCTAAAAACACCGTTCCCCTTAAAACGTTACATATAGCACATTGTAATTGTAATTGTTTGTCTATTGATTTTATTTCTTTAAATATGTTCTATTACACAAAGGAAGCACTAAGATTGGAAAGTGAAACATTTTACAGCGAAATCTGTCTAAATTCATTTCGGGTCAATTTATAGCTTGCTATGCGGTATGGGTTTTGCTCATTGTTGAAGGCTGTACGGTGACTTATAGTTACTTACTTCTTCGTTATTTGGTTTCTAGTGAAGAGTTGTCTTATTGGTGATAATACCCTTCTTCTTACGGATATGGTGAAGAGTTGTCTTACTGGTGATAATACCCTTCTTCTTACGGATATGATGAAGAGTTGTCTTACTGGTGATAATACCCTTCTTCTTACGTATATGGTGAAGAGTTGACTTATTGGTGATAATACCCTTCTTCTTACGGATATGGTGAAGAGTTGTCTTACTGGTGATAATACCCTTCTTCTTACGGATATGATGAAGAGTTGTCTTACTGGTGATAATACCCTTCTTCTTACGGATATGGTGAAGAGTTGACTTATTGGTGATAATACCCTTCTTCTTACGGATATGGTGAATTACGGAAATGGTGAAGAGTTGTCTTACTGGTGATAATACCCTTCTTCTTACGGATATGGTGAAGAGTTGTCTTACTGGTGATAATACCCTTCTTCTTACGGATATGGTGAAGAGTTGTCTTATTGGTGATAATACCCTTCTTCTTACGGATATGGTGAAGAGTTGTCTTATTGGTGATAATACCCTATTTCTTACGGATAGATTCTATGTTCACAATTTCCTAAACACAGGGCGAAAATTTTAACCAATGAGCAACTAAAAGTAATGAGAAGAAGAATGCAGACAACAAAAAAAGATAAAAAACAAAAAGAACAATTAGGCAAACAAAAACAGAAAACAGAACAATTCTGTAACACACAAATAACTAAAGATTAAGCATTAGGACCCAATCATATACCCGTTTAAAACCGAGTTCTTCCGAAAAACCAGCAGTTCCTGCTCTAATACTAACACCAACAGTGTTACCCGTTTTAAATTCGATGATGAGTTATTTCCCTTGATGAGGCGTGATGAAACAACGGATTTGTCGTTTTTAAAATGTAACTTCCCTAACTATAAGCTACCACCAAAGTCATACATGTAAAAAGAATTGGTACAAGTAAGTCTGTTAACCTTAAACTGCACCCAATGTGAAAATTTGAAATTTAAACAATGTTTGGTAAGTTTCATATTTTGATACAAATGTTTGATTTATGAGGGTCCCGATGGGTTTTTAGAGAATACAGAATAATTTGCGAAAAATAGAGAATGAAAGCATGAACAGGTTAGAATAGAGAAACATAGACAAATAGAAAACAATAATGAGTGGAGATTATAGGAATAAAAATGATAGAGCAAAATTATAAAACATTGAAAACCCCCGCATTCGGACCCCTCATTAATACAGGTTATAACGTGCTTTGGATTAGACAGGTCTTCGCTGTAACAGTACATGTATGTCAGAAGTAAAAGTTAAAGGACTGGTAAAACTGTCATATAAGAATTAACAAAAATTAATAATTAGTAAAGTGATAATGTGCCGTCACGTGGTTGTTTATTATTTATGTTTCATTCAGTTGTATTTGTATTAATTTTAAAAAAATGTGTTTGCTAATAAAAACATAATATATTCTTTCATACAATATGTTGTCATGCTTTTTGTCTGTTTAATATAGTACTACTAAGGGGTGTTTAACGACCTTGGCTACCCATTATGGTCTCGCACGGTCGAAAAATGATATAAGATGTATTTGAAAAGTCTCATTTTTGGCTCCTTGAATTCTAAATTAAAAAATATCATAAATCTATCAAACCATCATTCATATGTGTACAACGTATTTAAAAGGGAGGTGAAATTTACGAAAGGAACATTCAAAGTCATTAGTAGAAAAAGATTAAACTGTAAGATACCGCTCCACATGTAGAACCCGTCATGCCCAGCTGGTCTGCGCGAACGTACGACAGATTCGTAAAAACTTAACGCGCCGTGTCAAGTATAGTATTCCCTTTTATTCGAAATTTGTTAACATATTCGCTTTAGGCTCTTCAGAATTACTACAGTCAACAAAGTTTTTGAAAATCATTACAAAATGTCTAGCTTGTCCATCCGTATATTTGATGTTCATAGATGCTTTTTTTTTACATAAATAAATATTCTTATGACCCTGGCTCTGTAAAAAAAAACAACAACAAAAAAACAACAACTAAACACAATCAAGAAGCTTTAACAAAATATTCAGGCTACAAACAATATTGAATTTTGTACCTTGTAGAATAATAGAAATATATATTTGTACTTGCTATACGTAGCAGTGGAAAGTGCAATTGAAATTGCTTTTATCTTTGCTTCTTACGCCTTTACAAATTAATATAATCCGCGGTGCTACATTTGTAGGAACCATCTTGTGGTACACTTGTAGGACTAGTCTTGTGCTACATTTGTAGGAACAGTCTTGTGCTACATTTGTAGGAACAGTCTTGTGGTACATATGTAGGAACAGTCTTGTGGTACATTTGTAGGAACAGTATTGTGTTACATTTGTAGGAACAGTCTTGTGCTACATTTGTAGGACCAGTCTTGTGCTACATTTAATGGACCAGTCTTGTGGTACATTTGTAGGAATAGTCTTGTGTTACATTTGTAGGACCTGTCTTGTGCTACATTTGTAGAAACAGTCTTGTGCTACATTTGTAGGACCAGTCTTGTGCTACATTTGTAGGCACAGTCTTGTGCTACATTTGTAGGAACAGTCTTGTGCTACATTTGTAAGACCAGATTTGTGCTACATTTGTAGGAACAGTCTGGTGCTACATTTGTAGGAACAGTTTTGTGCTACATTTGTAGGAACAGTCTTGTGCTACATTTGTAGGAACAGTCTTGAAATTGAACTGAGGTCCGTGATATGAATATGTACTAGACCGACACTCTTCGATTTAGTACGTGCTAGTACAGGACATGTAACAATAACAATACTGTGTGGTATGGGTCTTGCTCATTGTCGAAGGTGACGGTGACCTATTATAGTTGAATATCTATGTCATTTGGTCTCTGGTTGAGAGTTGTTTCTTTGGTAGTTATACCACATCTTCTTATTTTTTATATCCCGGAAACATTAATATTCTGATTCTTTTCTCTGACTCCTAAACTGCTAAATGCCACGTGCTTAGCGATAAAGAAGAAAATACCGATTCTTAAGTCTTCTGGTTTGACCTGGTCATGAAACGTATCCACCTTCCACATTCGAGATATGATGAATTTTCACTTTCTTCGTCTCACCAAAAATTAAAAAAAATCATTTGAATATCTATATAAAGGTTTTTTGATCAAATCGAAAAGTTTTCCGCGTAATATATCTATACTACAAAAGAAAGAGACCGATTTCATTGAGCCGCAACTCCTCTGAAACCATACAAAGTCGGAAATATTTGTGATATGACGTATAAATGTAGTGTTTTGTACTTCCTAAATTTGGCTTTGAAACAATCTTTTTTCCACAGAAAACGCCAATTTTTGAGAAAATATCCGAATTCTGAGACCGTTTTCGATCAGTGTCTTATACGCTTTCGCGCATGCTCAGTCAACGAACTGCCCGACAGCTCGGTCCACGGCCAACTCGCACCACTCAAAACACTCTCACTAATTATTACAACTTGCATCACTTTATCAAACTCGCATCACTCAAAAAAAAAGAAATATTACAAACTCGAAGAAATGTGTTTAATCCTTAGATTGTTTTCTTCTTCTCTTAGTCAGTTCCTCCTTTCTCGGAGCACCCGTGTCACACAGAGACAGAACTCGCACCACTCGAAAAAAAATACTACTAATTCGCACCACTGAAGAAATGTTTTAAATCATCAGAAAGTTCTAGATTGACTTCTTCTTCTCTGAGTTATTTCCTCCGTTCTTGGAGCACCCGTATCACACAGAAACAGAACTTGACTCTCACCTTTCGAAAGAAAAAAAAAGAAATATTACAAACTAGCACCATTGAAAAATGTTTTTTAATTATCAGTGTTCTAGGTTGTCTTCTTCTTCTCTGAGTTATTTACTTCGTTCTAGGAGCACCTTTGTAACACCGAGACGGAAGCTACTAATTGGACATTCAAACTCCTATGGAAGAAGAACTGACAAACTAATAAAAACTATCAACATAATGCATCAGTGCATAAAACAGTTTGAGAAACACGAACCCAAGCTGTGTATCACTATAAACATTTCAAGTATGCTTCAAGCCGTGCTCGCGCGGGTTTTTTCTAGTATGACTATAAAAATAAGGAGATGTGGTATGATTGCCAATGAGACAACTATTCACCAAAGTTAAATGAAGTGTATGTAAGAAATAATAGGCAACCATATGGCCTTCAAATATTGTCTTAATAGTTTAACATGATAATTTGTCTTACTGTTTATTTGGAGAGAATCACTGACTATGGGCAGGACAACTGTCAATCAGTGTCAATAAAGAACGGAGTCGAACACACCTCGCCATTAGTTAACTGTCGATCCTTGTCAATAAAGATTGGAGTCGAACACATCTCGCCATGGGCAGTGTTCGAACTCACAAACGCAGAGTGAACTGTCGAGTGAACACTGTAGATGAACTAATAATCTACATAACTGCTTACTTCCACTTCATTTGAACTTAGGTGGACAGTTGTTTCATTTGCCATCATCCCACATCTCATTATTCTAATATTAGGATCATTCGACCACCGTGGACCCCATGAACATTGGCTAGACAAGAACTGTTAAAAGATGTCTTTTTTGTGAGTACTTTGCTGAAAGATATCAAATAGCAGTTTTGCATTTCACAAAGACATAACAAGAAACAATCAAACGATAAAAAAATGCAGACAGATTTATGACAATAAGGCATGGACTATTTGACTTTCTGTGTGTGTGTGTGTGTGGGGGGGGGGGAGTTTTATATCAAGCCAGATTTGTTTTATCATGCAAACCGAGCAAGAATATTTTTTTTCAGTCAATCCAAAGCAAGATTATTTAAAAAAAAAATACATCATACATGTCATACTTGCTGTTGATGAAGCTAGAATAGGCCAGATTGTTTTTTTGTGTCAAAAAAGAGGTCAGATTTTTTTTTTTCAAACAAACCCAGCACCCCCTTCCCCCAAAGTCTAATGGTCCATGCCTAAACGAAAACAAATATGAAATACAGCAACCAATTTCATTCTTTTTTTTATAGTTTAGGTGAATGCTTGTAGATCAGACACAATATTGCATAAATCTCAAACGGTGAAGCTTTATCAATCTAGTTACTAAAGAAAGAATGGTGGGGTTTATGCCTAAATATGACATCTTAATCATAAACTATGATATTCATATTTCACTTCTTGTGCACCAAACACAAGAACACTGACAATTAACGTCTAAAAGATGTTTTTATTTATAAATTTATCATTTGGTATAATCGAGGGAAGGTACAATTTCCTGAGCCACAAAGCAAATACCCCTACGGAACATAATATATATGTTTGAATAAACCGAATAGGAACAGTTAATATAAACATTCAATTCCATCTCATTATTTATAAACTATCAAGTGGTTAAACACACAAATGGCCAAGCGTCTCTATGCATGATGGATCAAAAGGATATTATATATATATACCATACGTTTTACAAATACCTCGCCAGAGAAGGTAATACTAACAGACATATCCTTAAGGGGATATCCAACATTTTTACTAAAATAGAATTTGCTCTTTTAATTTTCATTAAATTTTTACAATTTTTTTCATTTTCACTTGTTTTGTTTCGAGAGCAACATTGACGAGTTTTATTACAAAATTATTAGCTTTATGTATTTATCTTATACAGACCTTCTAAAATTCAAACTGACCACACGCACGATACACGCACGCACGATACACGCACGGTGAATGCACGATACACGCACGGTGAATGCACGATACACGATACACGCACGATGAGCGATGAGCGTTACACGGAGGATTAACGAAAAATGAATGATGAATGATGAACGCACGATACACGCACGATGCACGATGAATGATGAACACACGATACACGCACGATACACGCACGGTGAATGATTCATTGACGAATGAACGATAAGCGCTTAATACACGGTTCTCAAAGCCATTTTATTTGGAATTGCATTTAAGATTGATGTATGATAATGAAAATCTATAAGGGTATACAAATTTTAGATATCTCGCTTTCTGTGTTGATTGGTCGACAGTTTTACTAAACACTCCATGTATTAAATAAATTAATTGTAGTATAGTATTTCCAATATCAATGAGTGTTATCAAATTATAAAACTCATCGATTTTATAATTCTACTTAATATAAATAATTTATAAATTGCTACGTTTTAAAGAGTGGCGATTCCAGCCATTTTTAAAAAGAGGGTTCTCAACCCAGAATAAAAGGGGTGGTTTTAACCATATGTCCCCATTCAAATGCATTGACCCCCGCCCCCCTTCTTTTTATATGCCTAAATTTGTAACCTTAACTAATTAATTATCATATGTTTACGTTCCGAAATTTAGGAAATATTTGTATGTTTCAGAATCGTATGAGTTAATTTAGAGCAAAATATATAATTTGTCAGAAAAATCTGATTCATAAAATTAATTAGAAATAGCTAAGAAAATGAAATTTACCAAATAATGAGAAAATTTAAACATTTGTTATACCAAAAACTTCATAATATACTTCTGAAACGACTTTTTGTCCTGAATATGCATGAAAGTTTTGCCACTGGACGTTTAAACAACCACTGAATAATCATTCAATCAAATTTTGCTCTCAGTAAAAATGAATTAAACAATATAAGCCACAATTGTATCCATCACTTGGTGTCTGTTGTTTGTTTGTACAGTAAACATACTGAATCTTTTTATATTCCTTATACAATTTCAAGTATGTAATAAAATTCATACATATTTTCAAACATCCTGGCACTTCAAATTTCTAGGAGGTGAGATTCTCGGGGTTTTACCTGAAACTCTTTGGGAAATGCAATTTTTAATTCCAATTCCAATTCCAAACTGTAAAAGATATCCCAAGGTTTTTTAAAATGCATTTCTAATTTGATAAGGAGATTTGAAGAAAAAAACGATCTCAATGGTAGTTGAAATTATTCAGTGCAATCATTTTGTGTCCGTCGTTGTCTTTCATACATATCAATTGGTGTATCCACTGTTTGCTGTTCGTTATCTGTTGTTTATGGCAGTCAGGCCTCGCGATCGGTCTCCAAATTTAAGCCCCCACTTAGGTAAA